TAAATAAAATATGAAGTTTAGTGGCAACGATGTAAAAACATAAAAATACTACGACCTATTATATCCTACTGGTCATTTAAATTTGAAATTGGGTTTTACACATAAATTTATAGAGTGATGGGTATATCTCTAGGAAATAGAAAATGTAGGGATCTATATTGGACAAGCTCTTGACATAAAGATGGGGAGGCAGCGGATTTCCTGTGAGAGTGGGACAAGGCTACATTTTAGGCCTTTCATTGAGAGTTGATGTCTTCTGAATTCAGTTTGACTTGTTTCGGGGAACAGCTGCTATGAAACAGGATGCAGACGACTTGTATCCAACAACTCTTTCACACACAATAAAGGCACGGAACGCATATGTAGCTAATTTAATATTCGTTTGGACACAGTTTCATTTATCTTTTATTGGTTCAGGAATGTACAGAGTGTATATTGCAAATCATGTCGCATTCTTAGTGATGGTTACTGAACTTTGTTTCAAATTAGATCTTAAGAACGGAGACTGCACTAAACAAAGTATGTAACATTAGTCTTAGATGTTAGCTCTCTTGGTTCTCCTAAAGCTGGATTGGCATATGAAGAAATTTAAATAAATTGCAGAGACCTTACTAATGTAAACTAACTCCAGTGCCTGATTATTTGTGACCATTTCTTTTTTATCTTATAATCTGTATTTGTGGTGTTTTGCTGCAGTTTGGGACAAAAAGTCATGCAGAATATGCTCGGTTCTCACCAGATGGCCAGTTTCTTATCTCTTGCTCTATGGATGGGTTTATCGAGGTATATATGATTGAGATGCTTTTGTTCAGGATGGAAACATTGGATGAAATTTGAATGCATTTTTTCTCCAATATTTGTGTCACAAGCATATTAAAATGAGATCCCAGCTGAAAGTTGAGAAAAAGAAGTCTTTGAATTTATTTTATCTTTAACAAATTATGCAAAGGAATATTATAGTAGTAGAACCAGGTTCAAATATCAATCAAAACTTTATAATTCCTTCAATAATTAAACTTTTATAATTTAAACTTATTGCCTTCATTTATCATAGTTGTTGGAACTAGCTTGGTAAACATTATCTAGAATGTGTCTAGGATAAGTGTGCGAGTACTTCTTGTAATCATCATTCTATAGTAGATTTGTTTTGGGCTAAGGAGTCCTGTGGATTTTCCCCAAAGATTGTGTTTTACCACGTAAAATAATTCTCTGCGTGTTCCTTTATTTTATGCTCAGCACGTTTCAGGATTGACAAGCCATATCAATCCCTGCTAACGAAGTTTATTCTTATTTATTGATTATAATTTTAAATTAGCCTATTCACCCCTCCTCTAGGCATTGTTAGTCATCCTACAGGTAATTCCAAAGCTTTTGAGGGAGAAAAGATTTTGAAATACTATTCACTCAAAGTGGATGGAAATTCAAGTCTGAAAGTTAGGTTAAGCACAAGGCAAGGCACAGTTTGTACACCAAATCGACCTTGGCAAATGTATAGTTGACATTGATTGGCTGATTCTGACCATCATTTATCATGATCAAAAGAAAAAGGGAAATGGTTACTTTTACATTTTCCACACTCAAACAAAGTTGTCATTGATTGGTTGTACGACTGTTACTTAATTGTACGGAAATTGGAAATTATGTAACAAGAGTCTTTGATGTGCATGTATGCTATTACATTTTCCACACTAAAAGAAAGTTGTCAAATCAAAATGGATAGATCCAAATGGTAAAATAGATCCATGAAAATGACTAGAAATATCATAAATTTTCCTCCCAATTATGATGTTAGCTGCTGCTGTTGGGTGGAAAGCATCCCATAATATGTATTGGTCTCGATTCGGGCATGGTACTCCTCTAAAACCTAAGAAATTTATTACATTTAGAATGGATACCTTACCACTAATGAATAAACCTGACAAACCAAGTTCAAGCTTCAGAAAAATGCCATCTATATATGCTTACGAAAATGTCATCAGATATCTCTGTTGGCCTTTTGGCTGAGACTAGGCACAGAAAGATATCAGGCCATCTCCAGTCATAAGGCTAAAAATTTAGCCCATCAAAATATTAATTTTTTAAAGAATAGTGCAGGGCTATATTTAAGGGTCATTCATATTTTATTATTTTGAGAAAAACTATGGTACAACACTCATATATTCCACAACTATATGTTGTTTAATTTAATTAAACTACTATCTCCAGCCAATAATTTTTTATAATTTTTTTTAAACAACACTTGAAAATAGTTAAAAAGGTGGCCATATTATAATAATTAAATATTAAAAATAAAAATAAAAATAAAAAGAATGGGTTTCAATGGTCTAACCTCCAACGGTCATGACCCATAATTTGTTATAATTTTTTCTTAAATAACATGAATTGAAAACATTTAAAAAGGTGACCACATTTTATAAAAATAAAAAATAAAGGATAGGTTTCAATGGTTTGACCTCCAACGGTCATCACCAATAATTTTTATACTTTTTCCTTAAACAACAAGAATTGACACATTTAAAAAGGCTTTTTAGATATATATATATATATATATATATATGGGGGTGGATCCGTGGCACTATGTTTTTGACACAAGTTTTGACATAATTTTTGGGCCATTAGATTACTTCACTTTTAATGGTTGAGATTAAACCTCACAAGGTAAGTAGTTTTAATTTTTTAAATAGACAATCATTAATTTTATTTTCTCTCTCATAAAAATAAAAGAAATGATTTTGTCTCTCCTCCCTTTTTTCTTGAAGACGTAATCCCAGCTGCCTCTTTAATATCAAATATTTATTAAGGTGTAATAAATAAAGAATTTCACCAAAAACTAAAGGCCCAAAGCCCCAAACCGTGAAGAGTCTCTTCAGTTTCCCCTTTTTCCTGCACATGCATATGCAACCATCAATTCATCTTCAGTAGTTTTTTTCTTTTATGTCAAAGCAATTTCTCCTATCTTAATATAGATATTGTATCACCAAAATATTGGAGCACCCACAAGATATTTCCTCCAACTCTCAGTCCCATATCTCCGGGAAAATTAATTAAATTTCAAGTCAACTTCCAATCACAGCTGTAGCCAATTTCTGGAATGGTAAATGCCCAGTTTATTAAGCACATGATTCACAACAACCTGTAGCTCCAAAAATGACTTTCCCCCAAGGCTACTTGTAACCTGTGTATATTGTATAACCCCAAGGCTACCAGTGTATATTCTATAAGTTTTCAAGCATAAAAATCTTAATCAAAATTAAGCCATTTGTCTAATTTCAATTATCTAAAGAATTTCAATAGTTCCAAAAGGATAGCTGCCAGTCATAGAACATCATTTTTAATCATGAATGGTGATTCAAATTAAAGAAGTTCTAAGCTCATCTAATTGGTAAAAGTGAAGGTTGATCCGTGGAACTTGCCCTCTTCTCGAGATAATCAACAAGTGTTGCGGCATCAAATTTTCACTTTGTATTCTCTCTCTATTAAAACGATAAAGGTTCTTAATAAAAAAAAAAAAAAAAAAAAAAAATAGTCAAAGTAATAGTCAGATTATGAGAAGATTAAAATCCCTAAATCAAACCCTCAAAAGAGATGGAGGTTTTTTCTGGTTTCATGAAAGAGAGGGAGGGAGGAGACTCTTGTTGCAGACAAAGAGAGAAAAAGAGACCGATATTTTTTATGGTCTCATGAAAGAGAGTGAGAGAGATGTGTGCGAGAAAGAAGAGAGATTACCAAGAAAAAGGGAGGAGAGAGAAAATCGTTTCTTTTATTTTTATGGTGAGAGAGAAAATAAAATTAATGATTGTCTAATTAAGAAATTAAAATTATTTCCCATGTCAAGTTTAATCTCAACCACTGAAAGTAGAGTAATCTAATGGCCCAAAAATTGTGTCAAAACTTGTGTAAAAAACATAGTGCCACGGATCCGCCCCCTATATATATATATATATATATATATCCAACTGACGTCATCAATGATATCAGCGTGCTTTAATGTTGGCTGTTGAAAAGCACATGCATGGGGCCCACTAAAAATTTGGTCTAGGCCAAAGTTGGGCTACATGTGGCCCGGTTGGAGGGCTAAAGGGCCAAATTTGGCCCTCCAAATTTGGCCATAATTTTGTTTAGCCCATTGCTGGAGATGAGTTTTGCATTATTTTAGGGCTATATTTAGGATATAGCTCATGGCTGGAGATGGCCTCATCAGCCAACCCAAAAGGACCGCTATATTTTCTTTCTTTTTCCTCAACTGTGTCAGCCACATCTATCAAACTAGACAATAACCAAACATGACTAGTGTAGTTGTTAAGATTTGATTTGATTTGATTTGATATCAAGAATCTTTTTATAATCTTTTTCTTTGACAAAATAGAATGATAACCAGTGTATATAACACTCAACTTACTAGATGGAAGCATAGTGTTTACAAACTGCGAATACATAAATTTGATGTGTAACATTTTCCACACTCAAACAAATTAAGTATATAAAGTAAAATAAAAACGGATGGAGCCAAATGGTAAAGTAGATAGGAAGCACCCAAATTTAATTGCTAGAAATATATGGAAGGTTCAATAATTTCTAATGGTTGCTTTTTTGTTTTTTGTTTGGAAAATAAGCGATAGTATATTATTGATGAACAAACAAAAGTACAAAGCAACTATGCCCCGAATATGGGTAAATCTTCTCCAGTGACCAAAAAGCTGAGCAAAGGACAAAGACATTTACTTAAATGCTGAAATTGGAAATAAGGTATTCTGTACACTTGGAGTGCACCATCACCAGCTGAGCAAATGGGCAATTTGAAGCACCTATAATGGTTTTTCGGATGAGGAGAGGTGCAGTTGCACCTCCTTGCACTTTAATAGGTCCGCCACTGATCCCAGAATATGACATATATATATATAGTGAAAATTTGTTAAGCACAATAAGGTGGACAAGAAGATGCACCCTTGGTGTTTTCCTTTCTTTTTTTTTTCACCAAGTGCAAAGTGCAAATCCATAACTTATGTAATGCTATTAACAAAGTTAACCAAGTTTCTAGTGGATGAACCAGACTCACTCCAAGCAGCCAAAGCCATCTCTCCCATTTTCCTGCTCCTTTCTCTAAGCTCTCTCCTTTTTTCCCACTCCATCAACTCCCTAATGCTTGTCTCCAATTCATCCCCAAACACAAACCCATCTTCCTCTCTCTGCTCCACAGCAATCTCCATTTCCATGTCTTTCACCAAAACACTCATATTCAAATGATGTTCTGTATATAGTGACCATGCCACCATCGTCACGCCTACAATCACAGCTTCAAGCACCAAGTTCCACCCACAATGCGTCACGAACTCGCCCACTGATTCCCTTTTCAACACCGCCACCTGCGGTGCCCATGACTTCACCACCAAGCCCATATCTTTGGTCCTCTCTAAGAACCTTTTTGCAACAAACCCTCCAAATCAAAGTCATGTACTCCATGGACCTGCTTGGTTTTCTCATCAAAGGGAGGCTTCTTCACCACCCACAAAAACCTCTGCCCACTCTTCTCCAACCCATCTGTTATCTCCTTCAATTGAGCCCCTGAGAATGATCCTTTGCTTCCAAAACAGAGAAACACCACAAGCCAAGACAAACAATCTTTTGCCTCTGCAGAATCCAAAGATTCTTTTTCTTCAACAATTAACCGCCCGATGTAGTAGACAGGAGGAGTGGGAGCATCAGAAATACAAATAATGTTTGATTAAGCCAAATCATCTACTATAAAGTTCCATGTTGTTATAGTTAGATGAAAGCTTTCAATGCTCGAATCGAGACCAGTACATATTCTGGGATGCTTTCCACCCAAAAGTAGCAGCTAACATCATAATTTTGAGCAAAGCTTTCAATGGGGACCTTAGCCAGGTTTATCCCATGAACATACAGCAGCTTGCCACTCTTAACATTTAAAGAAGCCCACTTGAGATATTTCTAGTCATTTTCATAGTTCTATTCTACCATGTGGATTTATCCATTTTGATTTGACAACTACGTTTTGTACTCTTGTCCATGCTTGTGAGAACCTGGTTATTCTATTAAAACCCCTCCTTCTTCTTTTGATCATGATAAATGATGGTCAGAATCAGCCAATCAATGTCAACTTTACACTTGTTGTGGTCGATTTGGTGTATAACTTGTGCCTTGCCTAGTGCTTAACCTAACTTTCAGACTTGAATTTCCATCTACTTTGAGTGAAGAGTATATCAAAACCTCTTCTCCCTTAAAAGCTTTGATGAGAAGCGAAAACGAAAAACCAGAGAAGTGAAACACAAATATCCAAAGCCATGGAAGAAGATACAATAGTCATCTACGCAGCTCCAGGAATGGGGCACATAATCTCCATGGTTGAGCTAAGCAAGCTCATTCTTAATCATCACCCCGGAAAATTCTCCATTACCATCCTCTACACTTATGGCTGTTTTGTTGACACTCCAAGCATCCCCGCCTACATGTAGCGCATCTCCCTAGCCCATCCTTCCATCTCATTCCACCAATTCCTTTGTGTTCAAAATGAAAATACATTAATTGGCCTAACGTCGCTACCATAATGTTTGATTTCATTCGCCGGAATGACCCCCATGTCCGCCTTGCCCTCCAAGATATTTCTAAATCTTTAGCCATTCGTGCTTTTATCATCGACATCTTCTGCTTTGCTCAGCCAATCACGAAGGAACTCGGCATTCTCACCTACTACTTTTACACCTCTGGCGCTGCAGCTCTTGTAGTTTTTCTGTATTTCCCAAAAATCGGGGAACAAACCACCAAGATCTTCAAGGATCTGACCGAGATTGTTTTGGAGTTTCCCGGGTTGAAGTCTCCCCTAAATGCCCCCCATATGCCTGAGGCAATGCTTGACCGAGATGACCCTTTGTATTGGGACATGGTCTACTTCTGTTCCCACCTTCTCAAATCTAATGGGATCTTAGCCAACATGTTTGAAGAGCTCGAGCCTGCTGCAGTTCTCAAAGCCATTATTGAAGGTCTTTATGTTCCTGATGCTCCCACTCCTCATGTCTACTACATCGGGCCGTTGATTGCTGAAGAAAAAGAATCTTGGGATTCTGCAGAGGCAGAAGGTTGTTTGTCATGATCAGCAACCAAGTAGAAGTGTGGTGTTTCTCTGTTTTGGAAGCAGAGGTTCTCAGGGGCTCAATTGAATGAGATAGCAGATGGGTTGGAGAAGAGTGGACAAAGGTTTTTTTGGGTGGTGACAAAGTCTCCCCTCGATGAGAAAACCAATCTGGTCTTTGAAGTACATGACTTTAATTTAGAGGGTTTTTTGCCAAAATGGTTCTTGGAGAAAACCAAAGATAGGGGCTTGGTGGTGAAGTCATGGGCACCGCAAGTTGCGGTATTGAAAAAGGAATCGGTAGGCGGGTTCGTGACGCATTATGGGTGGAACTCGATGCTTAAAGCAGTGATTGCTGGCATGCCAATGGTGGCATGGCCGCTCTATGCAGAGCAGCATTTGAATAGGAGTGTTTTGGTGAAGGACATGGAAATGGCAATTGCTGTGGAGCAAAGAGAGGAAGATGGGTTTGTGTTTGGGGATGAATTGGAGAAAAGCGTTAGGGAGTTGATGGAGTCAAAAAAAAGGGAGAGACCTTAAAGAAAGGAGCCGGAAAATGGGAGAGATGGCTTTGGCTGCTTAGAGTGAGTCTGGTTCATCCACTAGAAACTTGGTTAACTTTGTTAATAGCATTATAAGGGTATACTGGTGATTTACCCCCTAAACTTGTACCACTCTTTCAATTAGCCCCATATCCTTTTTTTTAAGAAAATTAAGGAACCAATCTATTTTTATTCGCCAATGTGCCCCTCGACGTCAAAATCTGGCACTTTCCATCCATTCTGCCGTGAAGATGGAGGTCACTTTAGTCCTTTCGCGTGTCCACGCAAGTCAACCCAGAGTAAATCCGAAAGTCGAAGGAGGCTAGGTTAGTTTCCAAAAACAAAAAAAGCTGAGATCAAAGCGTTCGAAAGTTTGGGGGAATTGGGGATTTCATGAAATCGGTGAGGTTGTCATAGGAATCTTGAAGCAACACACATGTATTGACCAAGAAAGATGCCTGTCGAATTATGGAGTAGTGGGCAGCCTCCCAAGCATAGTAAGTCTTCAACTTTCCCTTTCTTTTCATTGTTTAAGTAGTTGTGGTTCATAGGTTGTCAGTAGAATTGGATTCTTCCATCTTCTTGCCTTGCTGTAAGATTTCTTTTTGAATAGAAAAGTGTGGTCCCAAAGTAAAGCATGTGCGTTGGTTTGTTTGTGTGCGGCTGATGTTAGTAAAGGCTGGTGCCGATTGGTAGGTTTGTTGTAGTAAATTGAAGTTGTTGAGTTAATTATTTGTTATTTGTAAGTGATCCAGAGTTATTTACGATTGAAATTCACCATGTGGGGTATTTTAAAAAAGGAAAGTATGTGGGAGGTACTGTCCAATAGGCAGACAAATGTAATACAGATCAATTGTGCGTGAGATACCTACATCAAGGGTTCACGATTTGTACATCACAGAAAAGCCAGAACTACATAGAGATAATGAAGCCTCTGCAGCTGTATTTAACTTTCAGAATCTGCTTTAACCACAATTGATACATGTAGATGTACAAGATGATGTAAACATTGTTAATGATGCCGATGATGAAGCTGAAGAGGAAAATGAAAAGCAGTAGGTAGACGAGGAAGAAGCTGTAAATGTTGATGCAGAGGATGATAAGGAAGAATCTGTAAATGTTGATGCAGAGGATGATGAGGAAGAAGCTGTAAATGTTGATGAAGAGGATGATGACGAAGAGCGCCTGCAGTTCATAGATAGTGACTATGAGCAAACAAATGAAGAACAAGATAAACAAAAGGGAGCAGAAGATGACAGGTGGTTTGATACGCATGTAGTGGATGAAGCTTCTGAAGAACCAGATAAAGAACCTGGTGAAGTTCCAAGTGATGACTATAATTCAGAGGACCTTCTAAGTGTTTCAGAAGAGGAAGATGAAGGTGATGAAAATCCAAGTGTGAAAAAGGTTAGTCGTAGAAGAAAAGCTCCTAGATTCAAGCAATTCAAAAGAGATACTGATTTATTTAATCCAGTATTTCATATTGGCGTGGAGTTTGCTATAACATGGAACAATGTAGGGAGGCCATAAGATTCTATGCAGTTTCAAGTGTTAGGCCACTGAGATGGGTGAAGAATGACCCTCACAAGGTTAGGGTGGTGTGTGGAAGTGGAGGAAAGGTTGAACAAAAAGGTTTAGGAAAAAGAAAGGCAGAAAACAATAAACAAAAATGTGTAAATGCTGAAGATGATGTAGGAGAAGAAAATGGAGAAAAAGATGGAAAAAAGGGTAAAGAAAAAGGTAAAGAAAATAGGGATGTCAACTGTGATTGGTTGCTATATGCATCTTATCTGGGCAAAAGGCATACCACTAGGATCAAGACATATCAACCAAAGCATTCCTGTAGAAGGATGCAGAAAACCAAGTTTGCCACTTCTTATTGGCTTGCTCAAAGGTTTAATGAGGATTTGAGAGATAATCCTAATATGTCTGTGTCAAATTTCATGAAGATCGTGAGGAAGAATTATGGCATAGATATCACTGCAAACCAGTTTTACAAAGCCAAAAGCATAGCTAGAGAAAGAATACATGGAAGTATTGAAGAACAGTACGCAAAATTGTGGGATTACTGTGAAGAGTTGAAGACAAACAATCCAGGCAGCACTATATTAATCAAGACTGATTTGCGTGGGGACAACCCAGTGTTTAAAATAATAGATATATGTTTTGGTGCATTGAAAAAGGGCTTCATTGCAGGATGCATGCCAGTTGTGGGTTTCGATGGTTGTCATGTGAAGAGAACTCATCCAAGACAGATTTTATCTGTAGGTGGTATTGATGCGAATAATGGGATGTACCCTATCGCATTTGTTGTGGTTGAAGTGGAAAATACCAAGACTTGGACATGGTTTATGGAGATTTTTTTTGCTGATGTTGAGTGTGAAAATGGTAATGGTTGGGTGTTCATGTCAGATAAGCAAAAGGGATTAGGGCAAGCCATTAGGGATTTGATGCACACTGTTGAACATAGGCATTGTGTTAGACACCTCCACAATAATTTCAAGATTGCTGGTCACAGTGGACTAGCATTGAAGCAAAGATTGTGGGTAGCAGCTAGATCAACTACAATACCTACATTTGAAGCTGAAATGGAGAAGATGTTATCTCAATCATATGCAGCTTACAGGTGGCTTTAGGAAAGGCCAGCAAATCATTGGAGTAGGTCACACTTCACTACTCATTCTAAGTGTGATATGCTTCAAGTCAAATATACCAATTAGTCTAACCTAATTTACTTCACAAAATAATTTAACTACTCTAATTATATAAACAAGAAATTAAACACGTAGCATACTCACGTAAACACAAAAGGGGTTTTTGAAAGAATGATTTAATTAACAACGAAATTAAAAGACAAAATAAGTAGAAAGTCATGAAACACAAGATGAGAAATTCAAATTGATAAAAGCACTAGGACAATGAATTCACTGCTAGTAATCCAATCTAGCTTTTTATTCACCTACCTATTTACTAACCATTTGATGTCACTGCTTAGTTTTCCTTTTTCATGAACTACCTATGATATTTAGGCTAACTCGTATATTCCTACATGCAATTCGCCTATGGTATTTAGGTCAAATATCAACACATAGAAACTCATTAAGATCAATGAAAACCTCGAACAAGCATGTAAACCCTAGGAGTATGGTATTTACCCTAGATAAATTACAAATCTTAATCACAAGAAGCAAGCCTCAAATTAAGTATGGTATTTACTCTAATTTGTATCCGATTAACTCGATTAAAAGTCTAGATGGTGATCAAGCATCAAGATAATCAACCAAGTTATTAAGCACAGTGATTAAGAATCCAACATCAAACGGCAATCAATAGATAGGTAAAATAAGAAAAATAGATTATCATACTAGGGCTACATCATGCCCTAGCAAAAGAAAATTAGTTACACATAATCATAGAATTCGACATAAGTAAAAACATAAGGAAGAAACAATCAAACTTAGCCAATTGCGGTATTCTTTCGGTGTCTCCAATTTCTCCTAGTCTTTGCATGTCCCCTAAGGAGTTGTTTCTCATGCTTAAATAAAAAACCCATGTCTATTCCTACCCTAGCTGGGCTTTTACAGCAGCCCAAAAATAAAGAAAAACCTAATTAAAACATAAATCCAAAATGGGTAAGTAATTGACTCCTCTTCCTACTTGGACTGGGATAACACGTCAGTTACTTTGCAGGCACATTTGGGGTTGTTTCTCCTCCAAGAAAATTCGGAAAAAATATGGAAATTGTAGATTTTTTGTCTTATCTTTCCAGCCATATATCAGATGCCCTGAGGAAAAATCAGGAAAGACTTCAAATAGTCATTCTTCCACAGCAGCACAGTTCTGACGGGATTGCACCTTATGCTGACTTAACTTCAAGGACTGCTCTCATCGGCTGCTCTGAAAATTCAAGAAAAATTCCACAATCATCTTCAAGGTCTTAGCTTTCATCTCCAATTGGTCGCGTACTAAAACTCCACCAAAAAGTTGTATTTCCGTTGAAAACAAATTACTTGCTCTGTAAAACTGAAAATTGAGAAAATAAAGTAATAAGTCCTTTTTAAATCAAATTCTCCTACAAAAACTAAGTATAAAGAGTACATAAATGTGTAAATTTATGGACTTATCAGCAATGGATATATTTTGGAACATTTTCTTTTGATGAATTTGTAGCTACTTAGGTAATGGATATGTTTTGGAACATTTGCTTTTGATAAATTTGTAGCTGCTTATGTAATGGATATGTTTTGGAACATTTGCTTGTGATGAATTTGTAGCTGCTTATGTAATGGATATGTTTTGGAACAAATGTTTGGGTTGGATTACAGCTAGAACACATGTATTGCTTGGATTCGTGTTGGAACAGGTGTTTTGTAATGGATATCTTTGCCTGCAATGGATATGTTTTGGTTTAATAGTGTTGTTTGCTTGGTTACTTATATGACCTTTTCGCCAAATGGAAACAAAATTTTCAAAACACAACTCATACATGTCATTACATTCAACAAAAAGACCAAAAGTCCATGTTTTACACCTCTACAACACAACTGATACACAAAAGTCCATGTCTTTGCCTTTCCCTCTCCCCTTTATTTATAGGACAGATTACATAGGCTTCTCTGGCAAATATCCTTCATTGTCTTTGCCTTTCCCATACATCAACCACAAAACTATCACAAACAACAAACAAGACACCCAAAACCAAGGGTTTTTTGTCAGCTTCTCTAGCCGAGACTTTTTGGCATCTTCCATCATGTTTATTTTCCGTAGCAGCCCAGGTATAATTTGCTTCGACCTCTCACACATTTGTGGGTCACCCCACTCCCAATATCTACATCTATTCTGCACATATCTCACAACAAATTGATACATCAAAAACAGAAGAAAAAAAGTGCATCAATCCAAATTTCTACTCAGCAACCCAAATTTCAAATATGCAAACCAAATTTCAATTACAAACAAACTTACCCTCCCACATATGTAAAACCTCCTCCCTGGATGTGCAGCAGTCCAAGATGTTTGGATTTCTTCCCTTTCAGTGGAGATCAACGTTTCATACTTGAATTTTGCTTACCCTGGTGAGGAGGTTGAAGCTGAGGCCAAGGCTTTATGAGTTGGGAAGGCTGTTGGTGTTGCCATTGTTGAGTTAAGGAAGAAGAAGACATGCAAAATTATAGCTTAGAGCTGTCATACCAAGTATCTTGCTCTCGCTAGCAAACTCTGAACAACTTGGAAGTTGGAACCAAGACACAATTCAGTCTGTGTTCTATGTAAAGATTTCTCAACATTGAATAAAATTTCTTTTAATTGAATCATATAAATTCACAGGTTGAGATGCAAATCAATGATCAATTGAAATTTTCCTCAGACTTGTATGGAATATTGAGAAGCCCTTTGGTGTTGTCAGTGTTGAATTTAGGAAGAAGAAAATTGGGGAAACATTGTTGTCAACTGGTGCTTCTCTCTACACTCAATAAATTGTGAACTTTGAACCAACAATTCAGTGTTCCCATTTACAAATTTTGTTCATGGTTATAGTTCAAAGAGTTTCACATGCAAACAATGCTCAATAGCATCTCTCCTCAGACTGATACCAATTCGAAAAAGTTGTCAAAAACCACAAGATTCAATTGCTTAACCTATAGATCGTAACATGATATAACTGATTCATGAAAAAATAATCTAAGTCGAGAAAATTGAGTTGACTATTTGAGTCATAATTCATCAAAATTGCATTCTACATCATAATTGTATTCGTCATCGTAATTGTACCCATTAAATTCGTCATTTGCAACATACGTCATCTTGGCCTTGTCTGGCTTCAGCCTCTTCACTGTATCCATTACTTTCATGCTCAAACTCATCATCACGACTGTTCTTCTCATTTGACAGTTGCATATCACCATGACTGTCACAATTAGACTTTATGCCTTCTTCAAATGCAGGTGCACAACCCTGATTTTACACATGAAGAAAAAGTTAAGATGAATCAAATTCGGTATCTATTAAAAAGTTCTGGCAATTACTCACAGAGAGATAACTCCATTTTCTAAAACCTAACAGGATTTCTAACTAGGAACTACATTGCAAAATCATTATAAAATGGCAAAAACAAAAAAAAAACTTTTAACCATATAACAAGATTAAAGTCTCCCATTGACTGCCCAATTAGTAAACAAGCTGCATAATTGATCATTCTATTAAACCACCACTTTGATTTTCAGATATCACAGTTTCATATCTTAATCCATGCTTAATAAAAATATACCATCTTCCAAAGATTATTCTTTTATGTATTAAGTTCTATCCTGCAATAGGTTGTGTGACTTGGATATACCTTTATTCCATTAAACAGGAATTTGGTGTCTGCACAGTAATCAGACATTAAGAAAAAATAAAATATATTGAACAAGTAACATCAGTTGACTATCAAAATTAAACATGCTATTAGATTTGTTTGGCTTTTGGTCGCTTGTAGTATGTGCATCAGTTAACGAGACCTTAGATGTTGACAGAACATAATATGGGATTTGCACAGCATGAATAAAGCAAGATTGATTCCAAAATAAGACATATAAAAGATGCTTACAAGCTCTTCATTTAATCTATCCAAAGCATCATACTTGATTTTTGAACTCAGCCTCTGCAAGAACAAAATGTCACTTTAGTATCTGTTAAATAAATTATAAGTAGCACAAACTAAAAATTAAGCACCAAAAATTCCCATAAACCAGTTCATTAACTTACATTCTTAGTATCCATCACAGTAGAAACTTCGACAGCCTTTTCTGGCTTTTTTGCAAGAGCAGCTTTCTTGGCCATTCTGGCTCGTTTTCTACTCTTTCCCTGCCAATGTTATAGTTGCATATGGGGATTAATAAATAAAACTCAATACTGGCAGTAAAACATACACAGATAAATGCAAATAAGATTGAAGTGAAAACTTTCAATACAGTTCTGCAGAGTGGCTCCAATAACAGGTAAGAACCAGGCAAGAACTCTAATAAATGGCAAATAAGCTGGATGAGACTTCCAAGCATATGCTTCAGAGCACGATGCACATATGACATTCAGCAAACATAAACTCAAATACAAGAAAAGAGGTAAGTTTTGAGAGTGACTTAAGAATTAGTTAACAAGTCATTAATTGAAACTTTAAATCCAAACAAAAACAAAGAAATTGTGAGAGCGAGTAAGAATTAAGTACCAAATACACAATATTAATTGAAAACTAAAATAATGAGAGCCCTTACAACCCATCCACCTCTTCATGTACCAAATACACAGTATTAATGAGAGCGAGGTAGATGGGTTTGAAGGGCTCTTATTATTGAGGTAAGTGGTTTATGTAATGTGTTCTAAAAGTTCTAATTTTATATAATAAAAAAAATATGAAAACCATGGATTCTCGTGGTTTTGTTCTATTTACAAATATCTCTATATTTCAAGTCAATCATGTCTAATTTAATGCAATCTTTCACACTATATATATATATATATATATTGATTGAAATATTTATGAAGTATGTATTATTCATGGAATATGAGAACTTCAATGTTGGAGTATCCGAGGGATAAATGTACCACACGGGGACATAGGACAGTGAGGCCAATAAGGGTCACATGGTTGGTTACATGCTATGAAGGATAACCGAGATATGAAGGAATGATGTGATATGTATGGTAATATGTCATTTGTCCTTTTATTTGATAGCGACTAATGATGTATGAGTTTTGAAATTTTATTGATAGAATATCCTATGGATATAATTAATTGCATATAATTTAGTCCCGTGGATAAACTACTTAGCTTCATATCATTTGGTCCTGTCATTTCATTCTTGGTGCTGATTGGTTTCAAGATGTGTGAGTGAGAAGGCTCAAAACCCTTTCCAGTTTTCAGGCCAGCTAATCCGCCTAATCTTGTTCCAGCCACCCGAGGATTTCAAGGCATCCAGTCCTTTTAATTACCTCCCTCTTGCCAATGGTTAGTCAGAGTTCAACTCTCATCGTTGTCAAAATTACATATTATGAACGTTAGAAAGCTTTAGTCCTCGCCACGGTAAGAGTTTGACTCTCACCATCACCTTTGCCTTCCTAGGTGTCAGTTTTCGTTGACCAAAAGATGATCAGTAACTACAAGTTTTCATCGCCCCAGCTGCATGGGAGGTTAACACTACACAGTAACATCACCGCAAAGTGAACGCATCAAATGTCACCTTCGCTCATCAAACATACGCGACATTAACGTAATGTTGCCAGCGCATGTCACGTATCTGCAATATTGTATGGATGATCAGCACCCTAGAAAAGATAACATGGCCTAGGGCAAATGGAAACCACCCCAATTCAGGTAGATGTCAATGACCAGGTAAACTAAGTAGTTTAGTTGACAGATCCATACGAACTACTCGGCACCTCTTAATATCCCTTTTAACTTTTCCGTCTGAAGTAAATCGCCCAATAAGAGCTACTCACAATCATTCTGCCAATGCTTCACGTAACAAGAAGTTAAATAATCAGAAACTACGCATCAGCTGATTTCTCATACTGTCAATAGCATGACCAATTTGAGCAACATGGAGCAGGGTTTGTAACACAAGCTGACCAAATTTTTGTTTGGCTTCAATTATACATGTCTTCGGGCAAAATAACAATATAACAGAAGAAAAATGCTAATGTAATGCCATGGGGTTTGTTAAAACAATCACGGTCACCAACACTCTGACTTTAACAAGAGAAAAAATATAACAAAAAGCATCCCAGTATTATGGAAGCATTAGAGATAACTATCACACTATTGCAAGCTAGCATAATGAAGGAAACATGAATATTTATATAAAACTGAGATAGTGGACACTACTGAAGAGACAACCAACTATTCATCAGTAGTACAAGAATCAGATCAAACAAATGTGAGGACAAGGTTATGTGGCATCTAACAAAATTGATTTTTGATTCTGCTCCTCATGGCAGAAAAAGAGTAAGAATTGGACACTGGGAAGTCATTATAATGGGAAATGATGCTGACGAAATCCAAAGGCATAATTTAACAATGACCTACCATCCAAAAGCAAAAGATGAATTGTGTATAAGGCTACATCTTGACTGCCACCTGTTCAGCAGAACTTTTCTTCACAACCCCTCTACAGCACAGTTCGTTCAATAACTCCAACGCCTCTTTTGCTAAGCCTTCATTAGCTATGCCTTCAATGAGAATGGTGTATGTTGCTTCAGTAGGTTTACATCCTTTTGATACCATATAAGCCAGGAAATCGATTGCACGACCAGTTTGCTTAGCCTTGCAAAGCCCCAACATGACGGAGTTGAAAGTAATTGCATTGGGCTTGATACCCGAATCTTCCAAATCATGGACAAACTTAATTGCTTCATCAACCTTTCCTTCTCTACTAAGCCCTCCCACAAGAGAAGAATAAGTAATTATGTCAGGCTTTAGACCCTTTTTGCGCATCTCATCCAAAAGCTCTATGGCACGTTCTGTTTTTCCCACCTTTGAGAGCCCATCAATTACTGTATTGTACGTGATCAGAACAGGAGAGCAACCCTTGCTACTTAGTTGATTGAGTATCCCAACCGCATTATCAACCTTTCCATCTTTGCACAAGGCTGTGAGCAAAGTATTGTAGGTCACAATGTCGGGATAACAGCCCCGAGAAACCATTATATCCAAATACTCAATTGCCCTATCCATCTTCTTTTCCTTGCAAAATCCATGAAGCAATGGGTTGTAACTCAAGGAATTTGGAGTACAACCGTGCTTAGGCATCTTCTCCAAAATGTCAATTGCTCGACCCAATAAACCCTTCCGGCACAAGAAGTTAATCAAAATATTGAAAGTAACAACACTAGGAGAGCAGCCTCTGTGAACCATGTCAGCTAATAGTTTCTCAGCATCCATCCACCTCCCAGTACTACACATGCTACGCAAAATAATATTGTGGGTAATGACATTTGGTTGGCAATCAGATGATGGCATTTCACTCAAGAATCTGATTGCTTCATCCAACCTCCCTTCCTTGCAAATACCATTGATAAGAACATTATAAGTTACCACATCAGGCTTGCATCCTTTTCTCCTCATTTCATCCAAAAGCTTCATAGCCTGCTCAACCCCATATTCCTTACAAGTTGCTTCAATCAGTATGGTATAGGTAATGACATCCGGATAACACTCCCTTTGCAACTGCCGATCAAGAACTTCCATTGCTTGTGTCAATTTCCCACTATCACACAAAGTACGCAGGATTGTATTATAAGTGACAACATCTGGAGAAACACTCATGCGGTCTAAAACCCTTAAAGCATTATCAATCTCACCAGCTTTGCAGAACCCACTAATCAAAACGTTGTAAGTTATAACATCAAGAATAGCCCCGGACTCTTCTAGAATGTTCATAATCCGTGTCGCCTTCCTTGTCTTTCCACTCTTACAAAACCCACGGATTAAACTCGTGCACGCAATATTATCCGGAACATCACCACGATAAACCATGGTCTCAAGAAACTTAAATCCCTCTTCCAATTCCCCATTTCTAACCAGTCTACGGAGCTGATTGTTACTCTCAAATTCCTCAAAACCATTCGAAGAATCCATTTTATTCAAACTCCCATGTGGGGTATTTTCAACATTTTGCAACCTACCATTGGAACTAAGCGTTTCAACCTTCGACGCAACAAGTACAGGCTTTCGCCTATGTTTCTGGTAACCATCATGTATTCTACATTGAATGCTATCAGACAGAACAAGAAACCGAGTTCTGCAGCCCACAAAGACCCTCACAGAACTGGGTGTGGCGGGACCAACCTTATCACTAACCCTACCCCCAAAAGTACCACTCTTTCTTGTACTGTTCCTATGAACTCTGTGAAATGAGCAAAACCCATCAGGGGTTTGCTTTAAAGATACCACCATATCCATAACTTCACTTCCTAGTGTACAGAAACCAAAACCCAACACTTAAAACCTCATGCTTCAACGAAAATATAGCAAAGAGAGTAAAAACAAAAACAGATTGCAGACTTGGGTTGGGTGTTTGTAACAGAGAGAAATGAATTTAGAGCAGAAGAGATAAAGCTAGAGAGAGCAAGCTTACCCAGAGCGTGTTTCCTTCTTTTTTTTAAAGTTGAATAAAAGCTATCAAAAGGAAGAACAGGTATCACATAAGAGAAAGCAGAGAGGCTTGAAGACTGAAGAGGCGGTGGTGCGTAACAATGTGCCGCCGTTTTGCTTATCCGTTTTTCTGTCGTTTTCTCGCTTCTGCAAAGTGCAGGGTATATAGTGGAAGAGGCCTCATACTTTGAAACGTTGAAACTGGGAGGCAAATGAACAGAAGTCCTCAAGGGCGGGCCTGATAATATTTCATATGGCCCAAGTAAGGCTTAGCCCAAACTGAAGGTTTTTAGGGCTTTCTCATCCTTTGGGCCTTGGGCATTGGAGATTTAAATGAAAAACACCCCTCTAAAGAATTACACAATTTCGACCCAAAAAAAACGAATTACACAATTTGATAAATAAAAAAATAATAATTACACAAATAAAAATTTTAAAAATTAAAAATTAAAAAAAATTGATAGCAATGGACTTGTTGCTTAAGTGGTTAATAAGAGCATTTACTACTACACCCGAGATCCTAAGTTTACTTGTATACAAGTAAAATAAAAAAGACTTTCATGATAGGGCATGTGAATAGAAGACTTTCATGCTCAAGTGACAACCCGTTTGGTTCACATAATAGATGGACTCCTTGGTAATGAAGTTGGCATGCTCATTCTATGGCATGTGAATACAAGACTTTCATTCCATTATGTGGGAATTCTTGGAAAATGAAAACAAGGAATTTTTTTTTCACTTCCACATTTAGTTTATGCAATAATAAAATATGTTTGTTTTACAATAATACCCTCCACATTGCATATTTAAAAGTGGGGGTTCAAATTTAATACAAAAAGTAACAGGAAACCAAATACATTCTCTCTCGTCTCTCTATTTTAATCAAGTTTTTTTTTTTTTTTTTTTTTTTTTTTTTTTTAAAAAAAATAAAATATAAACATACATTATATTTCACGAATTTGTATTTTAAAATGGTATAAAACTAAGCAAGAACAATGTTTATCTAACAAAAGTAATCGTATAACTAAAAATAATAAGTGTAATATTAAAGTTCCATATGCCTGCTCCAAAGTTTCGGCCATCAAAATAATGTTGAAAATGAACTTCAAATTTATTAAATTAATGTTACACAGGTGTGCCACTACATGATCCACGAAATTTTTTCAGTAGAAAATGTAAAAATACAAATTAAGAAATAAGACATACCTTAAACCTTACTTATATAGTTAGCGATTTAATTTTCTGAAATTCGATCTCCTTTACATAGTTAGTGGTCTCATTTTGTAGATGCCTGTCTCTGTTCAAAGCTCCTTTTAGGAAGCTATAAGAAGCCTCTCAACACAAGGCGTAACAACTATTTGAATACCATTCACCAATGGAAAACGCATACATATAAAGATTTATTTCAATTTAGAAAAAGATATGCCAAAGGATACAACTTGCAACCTTTTCAACATCCAGAACATCAAGCTTGTCAAATAAGGTCAGAACCTGCGCAGCACTTAGAGTATATAGTGCATGTGGGTCATGCCCAATGTTACCACCAATCCCACCTGCATAAACAAAGCTGTATCATCATTGTCTCTACAACTCAAAATCACCATACAAAGTGCAAACCCGAGCTGGTCATCTCGAGCAAAAGTAATCATATAACTAACAAAAATACTTGTAACATTTCAAAAAGTAATGCCGTAAAATGCTTGGTACTCCTTATGATATTTAAAGTCTCATATGTCTGCTCTCAAAGTTTCGACGATCGAATAAAGTGAAAAATAAACTTTAAAATTTTTAATTTGATGTTACAAGCATGTCTCTACACGATCCACGAAATTTTCAGTAGAAATAAGACGCACCTTAAAACCAATTATGACCTTTAGCTGTTATGCTTATTGGATGCAATAGCAAAATGTGAAGTATGTGTATTACGACATCAATTTTCAATTGGCAAACCGAAAAAGAAAAAAATAAATAAAAAATAAACGTGATACGCCCAATATCAGATTACAAGTTGGAACTGTGCAGCTCAAATATCTTTGTCCTTTAGCAATACTTTAATATGAGAAATACGGACATATGACTGGACGAATAACTACGATGCCGACACGTGTCCACGACAGGTGGGTGGGACTTTGTCTTTTTCGTACCTTTTATGTGTTTGTTTAGAATTTTCGCTTCCGGATGCTTCGAAACACCAATACAATTAATAAAATCCTAGCAAATGGGATTTTCAGGGAACTGATCGCGAGGGTAGCGGATACGTGTCAGGGTTTTATTGGCCCACGCAGGCTTATTTATAATACCATAGTTTTCGTGTGGTCGTAGGTGATTTCCGTAGATGCTGTTGCTGTCCCAACACGTGTCCCGAGTCTCGAGACTACAACAAGTTCTTATGGGCGCAGTTGGGTTGCCTACACCGTCGACCGAGTGGTTTTGCAAACGGCTCACAAATAGCTGCAGCTCGCCGAGTCGACATGGAGCCAATTTCTCTTTAATTCCCATTTTTAATATTACAACTTAAAAGCTATGCTAAATTCCTACATACATATTCTGAAAAGGGTTTCGTCCGAGGAAAACATAAAAATGTATGAAAAGGGTTTTCTGCGGTCTTGACCCTGAACTATTTCTCTATTGTCAATTTGCCCCCAATCAATTTTTTAGGTAAATTAAGTACTCAAACATTTTTTTTTATTTTAAAAAGCCAATTTAGAGCTTACCGTCATATTTTTAAGAATTCAATCCAAATTTCCGTTAAATTAAGGGTAAATTCGTAACATTACAGAAAATTAAAATTATACCCTATGAAAATATCAAATAATAGTATTAAAAAGTTTTTAAAAAATCTGAAAAATATAAAAGAAAAAAAGGAGATTTACTAATATACCCAATATGGGGGCTCAAATTATAAAAATACCTCATATAAAATGAACTTTATAAACACACCCAAAACCCATTTACAACATAACAAAGAGGCCTTAACTTCTTATAAATTACAAAACTACCATAAATTTCTTAAAACAAGCCCAACCTCAAAATCTCATAAAAATACCCAAAACACTCAATAGGGCATTAAAGTAATTTAATAATCAATATTAAATTCAATAAGGCCAACTATCATTTTTGGGGTTTTTTTTGGGTTTGTTTATAGAAATTCAATGATGGAGGGTTTATCTATAATATTAGTGCTAAGAATGGGTATATCACTAAATATCTCAAGAAAAAACCCCACCCCCATTGGCCATCCCAACACCTCTATTCTCAAAATTTTTTTTTCTACCCATAAGAACTTATAAGTATTCTCCCAAAGACTATTAGAAACGCTTTTAATTGTCATAAAGGACTAAATGCTTTTGGTTGTTATAAATAGTTTTTAGCCATTTCAAAAACAATCCCAAATATAAAGAAAACATTAATGGAAAATTGGGCTATATGTGTTGGATTAATGAGAATTGCATGAATACATAGCTATACTGTGGATATGATAGTTTCCAAAGAAGATGGACTGGTCGAATATTTATCTCTTGTTATATAAGTTAACAAATTTCATGAAGAAACATGACTGTTTCTCGTAAACATATAATTCTAAAGTTACCTTATTCAAAATATATAACATGTTACATGAATACTATATAATTATTATTCTACCTGCATTATTTAGTTTTAATTGCAAGAATAGTATACACCAACTAACTTTTAGTTTAGTGGTAATTCTCTATCATTTTTTAGAATATGTTCCAAATTTCAATCTCTATCCCTATTGAAAAAGGAAAAAAAAAGTACTAGTAAAGTATTTATAGTATTTTTAAAAAAATTTATAAAAAGTTTTCATCCATCCTTACTTGGAAAATGGGTAGCATTTTTCGTGTTAATGTCAACATGCTTTTATTAACGGGTTGACACGACACGACCCATTAAGTTAAAGGGACTTTTTTGTTTTTTGTTTTAATTTTTATTGGGACTCTTGCTTCCCTATGTGTGACTTCAATTTTTTTTTCATAAACTTTCTTCTCAACCTAATTATAGGTTTTGCTAGTTTGGTTATTTTCTTCACAACATGACTTGTTAAGTTAATGAGACTTTTTTTGCTTTTTAAAATTTTTTATTGGGACTCTTGTCCCCCTTTGTGCGACTTCTGATTTTTTTTTTTTCCAAAACCTTTCTTCTCTACCTAATTATAGGTTTTGCTAGTTTTGTTATTTTCTTCAGTATTAGCGCTTGCATCTTCTATATTTCTTTGCGGGGTTTTGATTTTTTGCCCGTTCGGTGTATTAATTTTTCTCCTTCATTTATTAATAAAAAATGGGAAAGGGCAAGGGGCTCCTAGAAGTTTAGGTCCCCTCTCCTTTAGGATTAAGGGTGAATGCTTGCATCCTATGACCATCACTCAGGACCTAATCCACCTAATCTTCTATTATTTAAAAAAAAAAATTACCATACAAGAACATGACATGTTAAGATAACGAATACCATGACATGACCAGTTAAAAAATAATTAAAAATTAAAATAAATAAATAAATGAATCAACTAGAGAATAGTTGAGGGAGAAGGAAGAAAAGAAAGAAGGAAAAAGAAGAAAGATATATAAAAATATAAAACTACCCATACGTTTTTTTAGGACATTTCTTATTGAGATGAGCGATAATATACCAAATTTACACACACATAATACATATGCTAAGACTCGAATACAAGACCTTAACTATCCATACTCTTAAATGGTATTTGCGAATTTACACATCACAACCAGTTAACTTAACGAGTGGTTAACGGGTCCACTTGTTTTCAATATGACCCGTTTAGCATCAACCCAAATACTTAAATTTTTTTTTGAGTGCAAATTTGTATTGTGTTAACGGGTACAATATTGCCAGGTCTAATCCTTATCAAATATTTGCAAAGAAATAGATTCGTAATGTATCCTTTGCCATAAAAGAAAAACAATAATGCGTTGAATGAAATACTATCATAAAAAAACCATATAGAGCCCCAAATATAAGGCCCTCGTTATGGGAAAGATTGGGGATGCCCCAATAATGTATCCTTCTACAATCGTGTCGAGTGGCAATCGAGTTGTGCAATGTTGTATCCATCCGCGTCTTATCACTTTTGTTTTTGTTTCTTTTTGTATTGAATTCATAAAAGGAAAACAAGTTGTAATTTGAAGATAATAAAAAAGTACGTTGTATAACGTCAATGCCTACGCACGCATCAGGCTTCAAGGCCGGCTGAGGAGCTGCTTGTTTTTGGCCAAAGCAGCAGCCAGCGAGCGACCAAATAATATGTCTCAGGTTTCAAAAAAACCCGACTTGGGGGAGAATCCGAAACCCTAGATTTTCTTCTTCTCCCTTCCACCATTATTTAATTAATTTAATTAATTTAATGGAGAATCAGCAAATGGAAGAAAAAGAGGAGAGCCTGGATTGATCGATGACGTGTTAGATCAAGTGGGGGCATCGCAGCCTCTCTCTCTTCCTCCATAGCCCCCACCAAACTCTCCATAGCCCCCACCATCTCTCAGAGTCCTCCCCCACATCATTTTCCCTTTCGTTTTTTTATTCTTTTCCTTCTCAGATATTTTTTCTCTCTCTACTTCTCTCTCTCTCTAAATTCTCTCATGAAGCTTCTTCTTTCTTCTTCGTCAGGCATACGCTCTCTACCTTGTCTCCTCCACCATTGAACCAGATCTCCTCATCTTCATCTCTTCCCTCAGTTCGTCTCCGCTTCTTCCATGGACGCCACCGACCTTGAAATTTCCTCTCATCCTTGCGTCTCTCAGGCTGCATTCTCCTTCTTTTGCTCTATTCTATTGCCTCTACGGCTTCCGAGCTCCCAATTTTGCTGCTTCAGGACGGAATATCCGTTTCGTCTTTGAGCTAACGGTTTGTTTGGCTGCCGAGAAAATTTTGAGAAATTATAAGCGTAAACGGAGGTGGAGCTGGGAATCGTGTAATTATGGACTTATCGCATGCCCTACGCGGCTAAAAGTCGTAAGTGTCATGCTTTTCTTTCATTTCTGATGATTTCTAGCTCACCCAAATGTTGCATTGAGCTCTTTTTTCACTACTTATATTGCAAAATTTGCAAATATATGGCCAGTGAGACTGGTTTGCAATTGTACTTACAGTTGTTTATGTTTTTTGTTCTTGGAATGTTGATTTTCGGGATATAATGAAGGAAGGTGATTTTGTTTCCGAGACGCGTACTTGGGCTCTCAAATCAGGTACAAGCTACTACTTCTTGTCATGCCTTTATTTTGATTTGGATATTTTCATTCTATTCTTGCCGTAAATTGTACAGTACTCACTACAAATCGCTTTTAACTTGGCTGTCTCAGTACTGTATTGATGACTTTTTAACTTTACTTTAAACTTTACCTTGTTAATTGCACCCGCTTTTTTTTTCTTTCTCATATCTATGTGAAATCCACGATATGTGTTCCGTGTTTTTGTTCTAATTAGTTTTTTTAACTTTTAATTGGATGCTGTTTGTGGTTGATACATTATATTTCTGACAAATCGAACTCCAAAATTTCTGTTTTATTCATGATGTGCTTATACGTATGCGTTAGTAGTATATACAGTCTTGTACAAGCATCAAAGTAGCTTATATAGTATATTTGGGGTTAACCCGTGACCAATTACAAGCCTCTTTGTAAATGGGTCAATGGAACAAGATGTGTTCCTTTGCCCTTCTTAGGTTATGTTATTGTTTTAATCTCACCACATCATTAAGTGTGTTTTTTCTGATATAGTAGATTAAATTAAATTCACGTTTGGTACATTAGGAATGTACAATATGTACAATTGTATGTTTATACTACAATATGAACATTCAACCGTTATTAATAGTTGTCAATGTGTTATGAATGTGCATTCATAATCTAGATTCTTGAATAACATTATGGATGTATACTCTAAATGTGTGTTTCTTAATGAATATAGTTATTGGAATAGGCATATAATAAGCCCTTTTGTAGCCTTGAGGACGCATGCGGCTTTTGCATTCATAATCTAGATTCTTGAATAACGTTATGGATGTATACTCTAAATGTGCGTTTCTTAATGATATAGTTGTTGGAATAGGCATATAATAAGCCCTTTTGTAGCCTTGAGGACACATGCGGCTTTTCATATTTCTTAATAAAACTTTTCAGATAGTTGAAAGTGTATGTGAAGTCTTTCACTTGGGAGAAGACTGATAATGTTTAGTGACTTGAAAATGTGCTCATTTTTTTCGTATGTGTTTGCATTGTACAAATGGTGGATTTTACGGGTCAAAAAGTTTTTTAAGTTCAATTAAAGTTTGGTTGGTGGTTATCAAGATATGTAGTGGAGCATGATAGTTTGTGTAGATGGGAGGCAGGAAAAAAATATGGAGATGATTTTGGTAGTTAGTGTGCGGTTAGATAACAATCATAACATAGTACAAGTTTATGGAAGTAGAGATGCAAATAAACTGAGTCGACCCCTTGTCAATATGTATTTAATATGTTCTTATTCCTTTTTATCGAGCTTGAATCAAGCTTATCTAGATTGGCATTCTAAAAATTGGCAAGCTTTACATTAATGAATGAACTTGTAAATTGAGTTATGCTAGAGCTTAAGCTTGAGCTCGATCCTTACAAACGTAGACCTAAAAATTATTAGTACCTAAAATATGAAACTATTCTTTGAAATTAAAAGCAATAAAAGTACTTCAGTAATTTTTTTTTAAAAAAATACATTTAATTTCTTAAGGCCCCATTCAAGTGTTTATTGGAACATGATAACCAAAAAGACCTTTTATTCTTGTTCCAATATTTTGTTCATGTAGTACTATGAATTAAAATATGTTTTTCTTTAAAATAATATCCTTTTAAAAAAAAGAGTAATACTATAGACACCAACTTACTGCACCAATTTTTGGACACCAATGATGTGGCAGTATGTCATTTTTTTCATTCTGAGCCCACTAGGAACCTTACTTATCCACAACAAATAAGAAATTGCCACATCAGTTGGTGTCTTAAATATTATTGTAAAAAAAAAGAAAAAGAAAAACCCATAATTTTGAAGGAAAAAGAAAATCATTTTTAATAAATCATATTGCATTTCTAAGAAATGTGAAATGTGAAGGTGAAAATGTCCCGCATTAGAAAACTAACAAACCTTAAAAGGGCTTGTAAGGAGTTGGGCTACGCCCCTCGTTGACAATTGGTTTTGGGGTGAAACCTCAACTTCCTTCATGGTATCAGAGCGGTTTGCCCATGTGTGAAGCCCAACAGCCACATGTGCCCCACGTTACCCAATATGTGTTGTCCACGTGTTAGGCTTGAAAATTCGCTACATGTGCGAGGGCGTGTGAAAATCTTAAGGTATCCTCTAATAGTGCAAGCATAAGTTAACATTTGGATTCCTAGACCTTACTTAAGTACCATATATTTTCCCAATTCATACATGATGGAGTCTTCAAAGGTATCACAATCTCCCTTCCTTTAGGCCTTGGTCCCCTTACCAATATGGGAAACATACATAGAACATTTATTAGCGGACGAGCCTATTTGATGTGGTATGCACTCATTTACCTGCTTATGAATCTATGCTACCTTTTAGCATTGGGGTATGACACCCTTTCCGTCAATGGGAGGGTGCCTTCCTTACGTAGGCAATGGACTAGGTGGCTCTAATACTATCTAAGGCCTCCTAAGAAAGTAGTAGTTTAAGTTAACATTTGGATTGATAAGCCTATCTTAATCAACTTAGATCTTGGAAACTCATAGCCAATGTAGGATTCAGAGTATACACAAGGCTTCCTCCAAAGTATCCGAAGTCTCCTCAACAAATTGCCAATATACCATTTAGGGGTATCATAATCTCCTCTCCTCTAGGCCTTTGCATCCTCACAAAAAATGACCACATAATGGACAGGTAGTTTCTATATGAGATGCAATCATTGGCCAGCCTATGAATCAATGATACCTAATATCCCCTTGCCAGTTGTGAAAACTTTGGTTATTGGGACACAATTACTTACTTTCCTTTACATCCACATTATCCCATAGAGCATGGGGGCATCATCCCTTCCCTCACTTGCAAGAGTCATCATAATAACAATGAACCCTTGGTTGGAAATAGGCAATGGATGGGGTCGCTCCAATACATTTTGCAACGACCCAAAGCCTTCTCCAAAAGTTCTAGGTCAAGTTGACATTTGGATTCGCAGGCTTTGCTTGATACTTAAGTACTCTGGATTTCCTTATCACATTGCCAAGGTGGGATTCAAGGGTATTTTGTAACAACAACCGAGGGCCCTCCTCAAAAAGTGCTAGCCCAAGTTGACGTTTGGATTCATATCCCTTACTTAAATACCCTAGACTTCCCTAATGCATAGACGCTGTTAGATTTCAGTGTATCACAAGCTTTCTCAATAGGGAGTTCAGATAAATTAGTTTAGCACATCACAAACCATTCCTGGACCAACATGAACTCCACCTGCTCCACGGAATTCCAATTAAAGTTACTTTCCATCCATAGATGGATCTTTCCCCCTATTAATAAGGGATCAGCGCAAATTATTGGCTAAGATCTCCACATCCAATATTTTTGTACTAAGGACTTTCTATTCCCAAAGATTTCGGTTATTCTAAACAATCTTTGGAGTATGAATCTTTCCTCTTCCTCACTTTGCAGTGGTATGCAAGTTATTGCTCACAAACCCTAGCCTTTGCACATTCTTTCTCTTTCTTTTTGAAGTAGTTTCAATGATTATGAGCATTGGAGCCCTTGGTGGTCACTACAGTGGCCCCCTAACTCTGGTGATTTCCTTGTTCTTTCTGCAGAGGTTAGAACAGCTATTTTCCTCATGGAAGATTTGAGATCCCAGAGTCCTATTTAGTCTTGCCAAATGCAGCAAATGCTTACAATTTTGTTGATTTCATTGTCTTTTGCCTGCTACTATCTCAATGAATTTTCTTTTCTTAAACCATGTTCTATTGTTTTCTTTTGTCCTGGAAAGTACTATTTTTGTTTCGAGAAGTGACTCATTTTTGCGTGTTTTGCTCCTCTTGTAATGGGCATTCAGGTATGCATGTTACCAGATTTTTGGGGTTTGTTTTTTTCATACAGAGCTGTTATTGGCACTCCAAAAAAGTGACCCCACTCCTCTGTAAAAACAAAAGGAAGTCGTGCAGAATGACTTATTGGGGTGCCAACAGTTTCTTTTCTATATTTTCGTTATATCAAGATTGAGTTTTGGAGTTATGCTTAAGAAACCTAAAACTATTGTCATTCTTTTCCCTTTACTTTTAATGTATTGGTTTGATAAGATTTGAGTTGCATATTATTTTAAACGTCAAATTATGGATTATTGAAGCATGTCAAGTTCTTTCTTTCTATTCATTGCATAAAGTTTGCAAATATGCTACTCAACATAAGTTATATCTTCTGTTTGGAGATTTGCAATGAATAAAAGATATCTGGAAGATTTTTTAATATCTGAACAGATGATCTCAACATTCTTCCCCCTCTTCTTAAAGACTGTTTTAGAACACAGATCTTGACAGTCATACTACGCTTCATCTCACCGAAGGGTGGAGAAGGGTTAGATTTATCTCTAAAGTTTTGACAAAAAAAATAATTTTTTTTAATCTCTAAAGTAAATAAAACCTTTTAACTATTTAAGAAGAATGAAATGGTTCAGAATCAGAAGACCCTGATTTTTTGTTTGAACATGTTTTTGTGTTTAAGATTTGCTGAGAAGGAAGGAACCTTTCTTTGCAAGCTATGCCAGGTAGGCCTTAGTTATTGATACCTGATCCTCAAGTTCATAAAATACCTGATCTCATGAATATTGTTTTCCCAGCTTACCAAAAGTTGATTCTCAAATGTGGCATATGTGATCTTCCCTCTCGAATAGGAAATCTTCCGTATCTGTGGCAGTATGTAAGACTTCCAACATGGTATTGCATGTCTCTGCTCAAATTGCATTCCTGTTGCAAGTTATTTGGTGTCTGATACAAATTTGGAAACCATAATTCTGAACACATGGATCTGATTGTGGTAATCTTAATTAGAGTTATGTTCTTTACATAAGTAAATACCGTAGAGTGGCTTTGGATTGTCTGGTGTCTGCAAGCTAGGCATGCATAGTCTTCTAGTCCTAACTTCATATAAGAAGAATTACTGTGTAATGGTCCTGGAGCCTTAATATTTATGGATTGCGCTGCATTTGATAAATGAAACATTGTACTCACAAATTCTATGTTTGTTTCAATCAAAGTTGGTCCAGGATCAACATTTGATGGTAACTAGCATTAATGAGTTTTACTTCCATTCGACCATGCATGATTTTTTTTCCCAGCTGATAACTTAAAATTTGAATCCATTTCATTTGACTAGTCCTGGAGAAAATTTATTATAATAAAATAATTTTGCATATTGTCATACCTACCTGTATGATAATCTGTGGTGGTTCAAGTGCGTGGAATCTTCTAGGTCTCGCTCTCTCTATTTTTCTGTAATACATATTATTTGTAGCACTATCCTCTGTCTGCATACAAAATATATAGTATATTAGAAAGAAAACTGTCAATGACCAGATAACCCTTAGTGTGCGTGCTTAACCCTCTATTATTTCCATGCAGGAAATTATATTGCGATAAGGACATGAAATTGCTCTTGATGCTGTCTATGTAAATCAAATTGCGTGAACGAGGTAAGTACCTCATATACCATTTTGTGAAATACAATACTTGGGTGGACTGAACTTGAATGCAGTTAAGTTGAGATGATTCAACAGTTTTGCTTCTTTCTCTTTATATTTTCATCTTTTTTAAAGCAACTGCTGGACTTGATATTTTTTGTTGAACAAATTGATAACCTGCATATAAACATTCCACCATATTTTCCAATACGAGTGCAAATGTCAGCCTTCAGAGCAAGTTTGCTTATTTCATGGATGCAGACAGACTTAGAGATTTTAAAAGCTGCATTGCACCTGAAGTGCAATTCAGTTATTCTTTATTATATATAAATCTCATCCTTACATATGTAGTTGGTTTCTTTGATTGTCACACACACATCAAAGCATTGTTTGCTTTTAAATCAAGTTCCTTTTCTGATTGTTCTGTGGTTCTTTTACCACATTCCTCTTATAGAACATAAATTTGTAGCCATCAACCTTGTTCTTGATAGAAATCAAGTAACGTCGTCCTACTCTGATGCATCTTCTTTGCTAATGTAGTTGTAGTCTGCAGTAATCATCATGGAAACAATTTAATCAACATTTGGCAAATTAAAAATGTTAATCATAATGGATGATGGAGTTTTAGGAAGGGAGGTATACCCCAGCTTTGTAGCCCTTGCTGCTGTCTCGCAGTTTTGCTGCTGTGGCTGGCTAAGCTGGAGTTGGACAGGTCCATGTGAGTCCTCTCCAATACCTAGACCATTTATCAGAAGGGGATTTCTATTTGCTCCATTTACATCCCTTGTTCCATAAACCTGGGATGTGAAACTTTTCTGTTGAGGTGTTATTGAAAAAATGTTGCAATATGTTGTAGGTTGGCTTTTAGATTTTTTATCAGTCTTTTGAGGATAGTTGACGTCTGTTTTAGTTATCAAAACCAGTACCTTCTTATATAATTCCATGTTTTCTTGACGAGTTAGGTTTACCTTCTTATACAGCTCGACATTTTCTTGGTGAATGAGGTTCCCCTGCACACACGTTTAAATTTAGCTGCTTAAGTAATAAAGAGGAACATGCTGAATATGGTACCAAAGTTTCGCAAAGTTAACCTTTCTGTTTAGTTCTTGTATTTCATCCATTAAAAGTTGGTCCTACAAAAGTGAAAGTTTTGATTTAGCACCATACACAAACATTTAAAGAGTTTATTTTCAAAGAATGAGTGATTGCTTAGAGAATGACAGTGTCTTACCTTTTTCGTTCGGACACCCCGAAGACTCGTTTCCAATTGGTTCTCCAGATTCTGTAAATCTTTAACACTGAGGCCAGAAAGCTCTTCGCCCATCATTTGCCTGTAATCATTGAGAGGTAAACATTGTTTAGGCCCTAAACATGGATTTTGGACATCTTAAATCCAGTAGTGAGTTGGATTTATGAGATGCATAACAATTCTCTTTTGATGCTAAACATCTTTATTGGTTACACTGGTTGTTTGGGCTCAATGCAGTATATACACTGAAATGACTCCACCTGCTTTGTTTATTAATTTGGTAGTACTTGAACCGTGAGCAGTTCTAGAATCATTTGATACATTTGTGAAGATAGATATGAGCTAAAGCATGTATGAGGTTTCTCTTGAGTTTACCTCAATACGACACCAGGTGATAGTGCTTTCAACATAACTTGTGGATGTGAAGATCTCTTTGAAATAGAAAATCATTTCATGCATAAAGATAGGTTGATATAAAAATTTGATTTGTTCTGAAAGTCTTAACTTTCTTTTTCTTTTTCTTTTTGGCACAAGTTCCCAAAATGTGATTGTAAACATAAATTTAGTGACAGCTTTTGATAAGTTGATGAGAATTTAATTTATTCTGATAATCTTAACTCTTTTCTTCTCTTTTATTTCTTTTGGTAAAAGTTCTCCAAATGTGATAGTGAAAGCATAATTAATATCGGTGTTTGATTAACATGGCTAGAGTTTTTTTAATGAACATTTAATCTGTTTGCTTTTGACAGCAGTATGTAAATTTCTTTGCTGGTTCATTAAAAAAATTTGGGTTAAACTGAGCTCATTCTCTCTAATACCACACTTCTTTGGCAGATAAAACCAATATTTATTAGAACTTACTCTCAGTATGGCCTTACGTCTTTATATGCCAACAGTGTGCCTACCTTAAAAACACTTGGTTGTGATAAAATTGGAATAGCACAAGTTTATGTCATAAAAGAAATTTGGAAAAGCAGAAAATTTATTGTTATGAATTTCCAACAGCTAAGGTCTTTCATAATCAAGTATACAGCATAAGATGCCCTTCAATATCATAAAGCTGAACAACAATTGGCCCAAAAACAAAAATACTTAAACAATAAAAAGAAAAACAGAAATTTATGATAACTTATTCTTATGTCTCTATCATTTCCAGATTGCATAAACTATTAGACAAAATTGTAAATGGATGTAGTAAGTTTATCAATAACATATGCAAAGTGCTGCAGACTTTATTGTGTCCCTATTCCTTAATAAAACCTTTAGTCATTTGGAATAAACTATTACTTCCTCTGCTAGTTTTGGCTTGTTAATCCTCTACCTAGAACTGATGTTTTGGAATGAACTACCTTCTTTTGTAAACTCCAGTGTACTTCCTTCTTAGGAACTTTAACGTAGACTTGGTATCTCGTCTACTTTTCTCTTAGATCTTACACAAATTTTGTAAATAAGAAATTAACGTCCATAGTTGTTTGTTTTGGCAATCAAATTGATTTACTAATTTTGCTATTTCATGTTTTAATTTAATAGCATGATGTCATTTGCAAAGTTTGTGTAAATGTCTTTATTGATCACTGCTGGAAAGGTTGGGTTGGGACTTAATTCCAAATTGATAAAGGCCTATTATTATTTTTTTAAAACTGACCTAGTATTTCCTCCTTTTATCTATAGCCCACTGCTTAGAAACTATACTTCTGAATCTATGAAAACCATATATGACCAATCCTTTTCTCTCTAAGCTCTTCCACTAGTCCCTTTCAGTAAGAAGATAGCTTCTATAGTTGTTTGTTCTAGAATAAAAATCTCATTTCTTCTCCAAATTTTTTTTCATGCCTTTAGTTTATTATGTACATGCATACCAACACTGCCCCCACACTCCTTCCCCCTCCCCTCCAACCAAAGTGTCATGTTATGACTGAAGATTTAACCCAAAATATATAGTTTTACCCTAAGCTTCACCTTTGTTCTTTAAAATTAGGTAATTAGTCAAGTAATTATTATTATTGTATTTATAAGAAATGAAGACTTTATTAGAAGAAAGCCAATAAGGTGCGATTACAAATAGGATTGTATTTAGAAAGTCAGGCCATACCATATTGCTGAAGAATTTCCAACCTTCAATAGGGGGGGTTCCATTAAGTTCAATTTGTTTCCCCTCCATACATCTTCTTCATTACCTCTTTAACCCAACTACTGTAAGTGTCCATTTGGTGCAGCTGTTGGCACAACTGAGCAGCAGTTTCGCACCATATAAAGTGTTTTTTTGTTAATCTGTTTTTCCTATGAATTGTAGTGGTGAAAATGGAGTTTCTGGAGAAGCTCAAATTCAAAGCTTCTCCCAAAAGATGGAAAAGAAAGAAATCTAATGTAGGAAACTAAATTACACTCAGGTCTGTTGAATGATCCAAACAATAATTAACTTCTTGATATTAGCACCTTCTGAAGCTTCTAAGAAAAAAAATGTTGAAACATCAGGTATGCAATTGGTGATAGACTTAGATATCTCACCTTTATGAATAGAGCAATGCTTTAGGAAATGAAGTTTTTAGTGAAGTGTAGTTAGAACGCGCATGTTATCTTGTCACATGTAGACATCCTAATTGTATTCTGACTTTCTAATGTTTCATTTCTATTTGTGCTTCTATAGTGCTTGTGTTTCATGGTTAATATATGATACAATAAATTCGTGATAAAAAGGAAAATCATTATACCTATGGTTTTCCTGCAAGTTTTGAAGTTGTTGCCTCAACATTGCTGCCTCCCTTTGCCATAACTATGAAGTAAAAAAAGACCACCTTTAGTCATAACTATTACAATGAACATATTTAAGTGGAAATTGGCCACTTCAACATAATGGCAGCTATATGTGAAAACAAGGCTCTTATTTGTATGTTATTATGGACAGCATAAAGGTTTTGTTCATATACCAATGTAAACATGCAAGGAAAATCATGAGCTTCTATTAAATGATCATAAACTACTTACTCGCAACATCTTTTTATGCAAGCATTAGCTACTACTTGAATTGTAACCTCTTTTATACCTGCATTATGCAGTTACATAATGTAACTCACATCACGTGCTTGCATTTTAGTTCTCTAAATTGATGGCACCATAAAGGAGAAATTGAGCTTAACATGACACTAGTTAGGGGTCCATTGCTAGTCTGCGAGCTAAAGGATCAAAGTCAGGTACGCAGCTGGAACTGAATTTTGATAGCATCCTGGTTTCTTATAATTAGTAGAAATGGAAAGTTGCAATGCACAGACGTTTCTATTGACAAGAACAGAAAATCTGTAAATTGTTGCCACCATTAGCATTTTGGCATATGATGCCTTTGTATGGATGTAGGACTTGATTTATATGATCAAGGAGCGATGCACTATTGTTTTCTTGCCCTAATTTCTTTTATGGTTCCATTTACCTCCTATATGTACAGCTTTATAGAGAGGTTTTTGGTCTAGAAAGGAAAAGTGGAACTGGGAAATTCTCTGAGAGATTTTTAGTGCCTCTGGGATGAGTCTTATCAGCAGTTGCGTTCTGACCCTTGTTCAGAGCTCCCTGCTTGAATTGAAATACCTCAAACTAAAAAGAGATTCCCCTGGAAATGGTGAACCAATTTCTTATTACTGAAACAACTTCACGAATGTGAGAGCAGACATATTTGACGCTTTGTCTTAGCAATAACCTCTATTCCCATTGTTACTGAACTTTGGGAGGTTAGCCATTCATCTTTGCTCCTCGATTCCACATCGTGTTTGGGATTAATGCCTGAACTTCCAGGAAATTGCAACTTTGTTACTATGATCTATAAAGAAAAATGAACCATCTTTTAATGGAATTATTTTGAAAGCTGTGCAGCTATAGGGGCTTTGTCTTTATGTTGCGTGTGTGGTCTCTGGACTGATCTTTTCCTTCTGCAATTGCAAATGACGGGCATTATGGATTTGGCGGATGAAACAGCATTAAATCTGAATTGACTTTGCCAATCTAGTCCGTCCATAGTCTTCCTGTCATCTAAGTCATTTCTTTTAGGCGTTTCATTGATGCGACAAGACGGAAGGAAAATAATCCAATTCTTGATCGACACCAAGTCATCAAGGTTGGATTGAACTATGATTTTAACTTTTGCTCATGGATTAGACAATACACATTAAATTGGCAACTAGTTATACATGGAAGTCCTTTGCTATCACAGTTTTCTTTCTGTGACATACAAATCACTTTATTGTTTAAGAGGTGAACTTTAATCGACAAGTTGGAAGAAGGAATAAGTGGTTTGAAATTATGTGCTCTTGTGTGTTATTTCTCTGACAGTAGAGAAGCAAAACTTGCTTGTGAGCAATGACATAAACAATGGTGAAATCTAGATTTTTAATTCAAAAAATCTTTCTAAATGCGTTATTTTGGACAGTCGTTGTAGCCTGTACAAAATGGATTCTGAGAGGACTACTTCTTTGACAGTTTATGTTTCTACTTTTTGAACTTTTTAACGGTATCTTCTTAACTGTGTACTAAGATTTTTTTTTCTCATATTCTTTTAACTTGTTGCTAACTTATTATTCACTTTGAAGCAGCTGATGATTTTATTGTGAACACCATATTTCGTCACTTCTGATTGAAAATGTACTTCTGCTAAATACAACACTTTTGATAGGCTAATGTACTTATGCAATTGTATGGCTTCATTATGGTTATTAATAATATTTTCTATTTATTTCTTAGGATGGGTGAGGTTGCAATTTCATTCGAGTGTATAGACATAATTTATGAGCAATAGAAGTTTGTATGTCTAGGTAGGAAGGTAATATGAAAATTGCCACCAAAATAATATTGTGAGTGAAAGCCATAAAACTGGTGCATTCCAATACCACCAAAGGAGACCACTTGGGCCAATATATGGAGGCTGCTCAGATGTTGTGTTCCAACTTCCAACTTCCAACTTCCAACTTCGAACATACAACCATGATTTCAGGTTGTGTATGGAGAACGGTGTTTCTTTTTAAATTTAGTTTATGTATTTTTGTAAATTGTGGTTTGGAAAAGTTTAGGTATCATATTTCATGGTTATGAGTTAT